CCACCAGTTTACACCTCCACCATCTATCCTCAAAGGTAAAGTGCAAATAAAACTACATTTTTTTATCAATTATTATTCTATTATGGTTATTTATACATTTCAACTATAAAATGCATTTTTCAGTGATTTCCTTACTATAGTTTTTTTTTTTTTTCAATGTACTACTTAGCTTTAATTTGAGTGTGTTTTTCGTGTTGGAACGAATTATTTGGTTTTACATGTAATTGTATGGGGAAAAAGGATTCACCTTACGACATTTTCATGATACGATCTGTTTCGGAATGGATTAATTTCGTATCCTGAGGTACCACTGTAATTATTTTATTATAAAAGGAAAGTATAATATGCCATATTATGTAATCTCAAGTTTCACCATCAAAATGTTATTGATATAACTCATAGATTATTGGATACATTCAAAAATTAAAGACTTATTCTTTGTAAATTAATAATTGCATTTACTATTTATTTATTGAGTAATTTAATTTCTATTTTTTCTCATATGTTTCGAAACAATTCAATTATTTATATTTGTAACTTAAACTACTATTTTTTATTAAGGTGAAAATGGAAATATTTTCTTCAATATCTTGGAAGGAGACAATCAGCAGCAGTTTGCGGTTACATCTAACGGAACTATTTTTACCACTAAACCGCTCGATCGTGAAACCCAATCTTTCTACAGTCTTATTCTTAGTGCCACTGATCGGGCGTTGCCCGAAGAAAGACGGTTATCCAGCACGGTTCAAGTGACAATCATCTTAAAAGACGTAAATAACATGTCTCCCGAATTTGTCACTCCAAACAAAACTTCGATATTGGAAAATGTTCCTATAAACACTGTAATTATGGCGGTCAAGGCCATTGATCGAGATGAAGGTAGAAACAGTTACATAGAGTACAGTCTAGCTCCTCACTCCGATAGAAAATTCACTCTGAGTCCCGTAGATGGGCTGTTGAGAGTAAACAGTTCCTTAGACAGAGAAATAAAATCTCAATATGAAGTGACCGTCATTGCTAAAGATAGAGGTCATCCTCCAAGATTTGCTTCCATAAACATAGTCATCGACATCCTAGACGAAAATGACAACAGCCCGGTATTTGATCCAAAACAGTACAGCACCTCTGTTTCGGAGAATGCCAGCATCGGCCTCAGTGTTTTACAGATATCTGCATCAGACAGGGATGATGGATTAAACGGACAAGTTCGTTATTCCATCGTAGCCGGTGACACCAATCATGATTTCCAGCTTAGTGAAGATACGGGAATCATACACGTAAGCAAAAACTTAGATTACGAGAGGAAGAATCATTACTTATTAATAGTGCAAGCAGAAGATAACGGTAACGACGTACATTACGACACTGCCACCGTCACAATTGTTGTTACGGATATTAATGACAATCCGCCAACGTTCTTAGATTCTCCTTATGAAATTCATATTTTAGAGAATGCTCAATCGCTTCCTACTTATCTAGTGACTTTAAGTGCTTACGATGCTGATTTATTGCCAAATAACAGGCTGCATTACTTAATTAAAGATGGTGATAAAAGTCTTTTTCAAATCAACTCGACAAGCGGAGAAATAACTGTGCAGAAATCATTAGATAGAGAAGTACAGGCAGAATATGTTTTGACAATATTGGCCGTTGATTCAGGTAATTTATATAGTATCATTTTATTTTCTTAAATGAAACTAATTTATTTCATTTATTATGTGTTTTTTTTATTAACAAGTAATAAGTCCTTCAAGCTTTTCAGCCCTCTGACTATGAGCTGAAAGATTTAAAACTACTTGGAACTGAATGTAATTGTTTCAATTGTCCAATAAGTGATAAATTATACAAAGATACTTTATAGAAATATTAAGGATTTGAAATGATGTATATTTCTAGTTAATGAAGTTTACATAAAAATAACAATTTATAAATCTCTCTCACTCTTAAGTAGTTATGCTTACTTATTGTTGGTAAATATTATATTGGGTGCACAGTGAAATTCTTATACAGTGATGTGTAAGTGACACAATGTACGATAAGCAATTATATATTGAGTGGTTTAGTGGTGTTCCATTTTTACCACTAAACCATTCAGTTGTGAAACCCAATCTTTCTATAGTCTCATTCTCAGTGCCATCAGTCAATATACAGTAATGAATACAACACAAAGTCATAGGAAAATGAGAATACATGTGTTATAAATAAACATGAGAAATGAATGAGAAAACACAAATGAGCACGTGAAAAATACAAATTTTATTGTCTGTGCCTAACATACATTAGCAGTTCATGAATGCCGGATGTCCTTTTGTATTAATTAAATTGGTCAGACTCTATGACTCTAATTGATTTGTTTTCTGTATCATGAATCATTTTCAAGATAAGAGTGCTAACTTTTAAATGCATGTATAAGAACTTTACTATGCACACTGTATTTGCATATTATTAGGTCCAGATAACAAGGGTCTATCATCAAATTATAATTTATTAAAATGCTAAACCATTGAAATTTTTAATTTAATCTTTATCTAACCCTCTGTATTTTAGATTCCCAAAATATTACTTCTCATCAGATTGAGCTACTTTATTATTGATTTTATTTATATATATTTGTGGCTTCTAGGAAACAATAGGACATGGTGATTTGTCTGAGTTATATTCACTTTTGGAATATTAAAATTAAATTAATTAATTTATTTATAATCATTATATTTTACAAGAGATGGCAGACTTCTGCCAAATTACTTAGTAAAAATTTAGCCTCATAGTCCAATAAAGAATCCAGCTATCTGTTTGGCATATTCACTTCTCTTGGCATTTATATATTGTTATACAAAAAATAATCACACAATTGACATTTTTAAAAGGAATTTCATTCTCCTTCCAATTATATTAGAAAACAGTCGCTAATAACAAATTTATTAAAATAAAATTGACGATGCGCATACAACCATTTGCTGCCACAAGAGCATACCAAATTAAAGCATCTGGTTGTTGATGTCAGTGCTGGTAGCAGTAAAGAAATATTTATGAACTTGTAAACATATAATTAATTGTTTTAGATAACAATGTCAACATTTATTTTTCATTATTTAAATAAATCAATAATATAAAAATAAATTTATTCTCTTTGGTCAAAGATGATAAAATATTTATAACTCCATGCATTTAACAATTATATATTCTTTATGAAGACATGAATTTCATCATCAATAAGAAAAAGTAAAACCAGAAATTGACAGAAAAATCATCCATCAACTATGATAAATTACTAAACGTTTGGGATTTGAAAACAATTTTAAAGTTAAAATTCCCTACACATTTCAATTATGTGCAGTACACGAAATTAAAATTTTGTTCCCTTCGCATTTACATAGAATTAGCTCAAACTATGTTCACACTGACATACCAATAACTGCAGAGTCGTTACGAACGACCAGTTTGACCAGTTTCTACAAAGTTTGCAAAACTCTTCCAATAATCTAACTATATTTGTATGAAACAGTAATGTTTGTCTTTCATAAATTGAAAACGGTTCGACTTCTGACAGATACCCAAGTTCGTTTGTTCGCAGACAACTAGAAAGTTTTCATAATAAATATTGACAATGATGTAGAATAAATGTCGGCTCTTTTTTTTTATTACTCTGACGTCTGAAGAAATTGTATAAATGTCTGCTCGTTTCAATTTATATTTGTTTACTTTGTCTCTATAAATGTAGCTTTCGTAGTATTTTCTAATAAAAAGTGGTAGATGTTCTGTTTAATGTTCCATCCTTTCTTAACAGTCATCTCTGCCTGGGAGGTTGATGACACAAATTTCCACTAATTCCCTGCTGCAGTCCTCATAAGACACGCATCCAATCTTCAATGTCACTAGTCCAATTTATTCTGTCTTCATCCTCATATATAACCTGTATTTTCATAAATTTTGTTAATAAAATAAAATATAAATCAAATTATAATTTAACAAAATGCCAAACCATTGAAAAAAATAATTAATTTTAAAAAATTTTATTTTCAGGAACACCTAGGCAGACTGGCACAGGTACGGTAACTGTAATTGTGAACGATGTAAATGATAACAAACCAGTGTTTGATAAAGAAAAATACATGGTTACCGCAATGGAAAACCTTCCAGTTAATTCACCCGTAATTACGATAACTGCCGTTGATGCCGATACTGGCAGAAATGGCTTGATTAGGTAAGATATCAGATTAATATTAAATAATCTTGTATGTAAATGCTTAATAATAATTACAGACAATATTTTTTTATTAACAATACTCATTGTTAATAAAAAATATTGTCTGTAATTATTATTAAGAAGCAAACAAAGAAGCAAAGTGGCTATCTCATCATTGTATACTACAAAATGTACAGTATCTTTCCACATTATCTATCTCATTGTGTAAGCAACAACAGCATCTTAATAGAAATGTTAACATCTGTTAATTATTATAAATTTGATCCCAGAAACAATTGTCAGCAAAGAGTACTGCTTTTGTAAACTTTCTTATGGAAGTGTGCACAAAGTTATAGCAAACAGTCTACAGTTTATGATATTCACCATATAACAAGTTAATGCAGGAAGTTCTTCAGTATGAAAAGACTTTAGAGACACTTTTCACACTTTTCCGTCATCCAAATTTTAATAAAATAAACATTTTCGGCTTGTTCGATAGGCCTTCTTCAGGTTAAATGTTACAGAATGTAATTTAAACCGAGATTATAATTTTAGAATAAAATATTCTAATCAAGCAACCTGAAAACATTTGTTTTACTAAAATTTGTGTGCTGAAAAAGTGTAAAATGTACCTTTAAAGTTTCTTATCTGTATAAAAATGTTTTTATACTACAACTTTTCTCTTACAAAACAAATTTCTCTACACATTTAAATAATATTTGTTTCAACTATTTTTGTTTTAGATTTTTAAAGTATATACATTTGTTTCAGTATTATTTATACAAAAGTACTAATAATTGAAGGCATTTTATTTGAATATATTCCATTAAAAAAAGATGTTAAATGTTAATAATTAATTTATTAATCAGTAAAACTTAAACAGTTATATTTTGTTATCGTGAAATATATCAAAATATCATCATGAATTTACCTCGGAATTTATTTTTTTCTGTTTTATATAGTTATAATTATTTTTAAAATCAGTGATATATATAGTAAACAGTCTATTTGATATAAATCTATAATAGTTTGTATAACGTGTACACACCAAAATATAAAGCATGCAAGGATGAACTATCCATTGGTTACTTGGCTGAACTAACCGACGCACCTTTAACAGTGGATGAAGTTTAAAGAATGCTAACGTGTTTGATCCAGTTAATGGATCGTCTTCAAGTTTGGACAGTCAAAAGCATAATCTACTTTCAGAATATACTTTCAATCATCCATGATATAAAATGGCCCATTAATCGGGTCAAAAACATTAGCATTCTTTAAACTTCACCCACTGTTAAAGGTGCATTGGTTAGTTCAACTGTAAAGCACGTATAACAAATAGACTGAAGTAATTCAGATGGTAATATACCTATCTATATAAGATAATACTCTGTTGCTTTATATTTGAACAAGTTAGAATATCCATGACTGTTAAAAATTTAACTGTCTTCTAAAAGCTGGAATTTTTGGTTAGATTATACAAACACTTTTACGTCCTGTAAATCGGGCAAAAAACATTTGTTTGGTGTAAAGTTAATGCTGGAAACATATAAAAAGTATGCTTGTATAGTTTTGGTACTTAAATTGTCAACAAGGACTTATAAATAAATTGTACTTAAATTGTCAACATATAACATTTATAAGTCCTTGTTGACAATTTAAGTACAAAACCTATACGATAAGGACACAAAGGCATAAATTTCAGTATGTATCTATAATTTAACTGTCAAAAATTCTGTATACAGAAAAACTGCAAGTGTTCAAATAAATATCATAAATTATCAAAGAATAGATAGATAATATTTAAACATTATGTTAGCATTTATGTATGATCTATTATACTTATTCATGTAATGTCCTTTATAAATTATTTATAGAAGATGACGTTCTGACTTTATTGACTGTCAGTTTTCTCTTTATAAATGATCTTTCCTCCATTGATTTTTTTTTTTAATTTTAAAAAAGAAAATACAAAGAATAAGATTCAAATTTTATAAAATAGTGTAAATTATATTTTTAAAAAAGTTTTAAATTTAATTTTATGCAACTTTTCCTAGATAAATTCTGAAAATTTTATTTTTATTTCTGGATTTTAAATATATAGATCAATTAGATAGCATCTAAACAATGGTAACTCATAAAGTTGTTAATCAAGGATACTTTCAACTTGTTATTCATGTTTTTAAATTCTTGAAACAGATAATTTATTTATTATCTTACTACTATAAAATACAGTATATATTGCTTGGCAATAAAAGTAGTTTATTTTTAATGATTTATTATGTGTAATAAATGTGTAATAAATATTTTACTCTGAATACGGAGCATCTTATTGCATTATTTTATATCAATTTTAAAGTGTTTTTAAGACAGTTTCTTCTTTCTTTAGGGTTATATGATGCGGAGTCATACCCCGATTTCTAACAGCCACTTTTTCTACTTAACCAATCTTCATCTCTCAATCTTCTCTTCATCATGTCAATCTCTACATTTTCAATCCATCTTCTCATAGGTGTTTTCTCTTTTTCACCTTAATTTATTAAATTATTTTTAAAACTAATAACTGATAAATCTCTAATTAATAACTTAATAAACAAATATATTTATTAACTTTTCTAATTAAAGGTATTCGCTCAAGGGCGAGCATCACGACATATTTGCCGTTGACCCGTTTACCGGAACAATTTTAACGAAAGTAGTATTAGATCACGAAGAGAGAGACAAATATCAAGTTATACTCGTCGCACAAGACAGCGGAATGATGATAGAAAATTCTGCCAGTGTCGTCGTTACAATTCTAGTTGGCGACGAAAATGATAATCAACCGCAGTTTGCCAAAGATAGTTATACAATTTACATTCCCGAAATGGCCGTAGGAGGTAAATAAAATTTTGAATTAAAAACTGTTATATATATTATATATTATTGATATTAATATATATAAACACCTGCAATTAATTCTAAAAAATTTAATTTACTCAATTCTCATTAACTCATTTCTTTAAACAATAAAGTAACCCACTTTATCTTTTTTGTGACTTAATTTACAATGAGTCAAGTTCACTTTTATAAGAATATTCAATAATCCTGTCTGTCAAACAGTAATTTTTATACAGTTTTCTAGAAAATTAAATAAAGGATATTGTCAACAAATAGAAAGAATACAGAAGAAAACAATATTTTAATAATTGTGTTATTATTTATTGAATATTAACCTAAGCAGATTAATTTCCTTAGAATACACTTGCTATAATTTATAATTCAAAGATGAAGTCCTTATATGCTCCTTAACTTAGTAACCCTTATATATTATGAATTATAACTTATTTAAACCATTTTTTGAATAAATTAAGCATTCCAGATAATAATTGGGAAATATTACCAAAAGAATGTAAAGACAAGTTGTCCTTACTAACTCCCACTAGAATTTAAAGAAGGAATTACAATTACATGTAGGAGTGTCATTGATTTCTGTTATTAACATAATACATTATAAGATTACTTTTTAAATTTAAATTTGATGGAATTCCAAGAAATATAGGTTAATTCAAATATAAACATATTTACGGTATACTCCTACGGAAGTTTTGTTTGATAGGTCTGTTAATCGAAAGCATAGATAGAGTGGACAGCAAATAAAAACTATTTCTTAAAACTTAAATTAACTTGTCTCTTATATGGAATAAATATAGTAATTACTTATCTTATAAGCCAGAAGTTTATTAAAACTGGTTTTTATTGCAAATGTATATAAAGGAAACAAATAATGGAACAGTTTTTTGATAAATTTCTTGTGTAAATAATAAATTAATCCATCTAAATTAATGAAAATAATTATTTAAAAGACTAGAATTTTTCTATTTTGACAATTTTCCTTTCAATGCCTCAATTTTGATTGAAAATAGTGACGACGCCTACAAAAATAAAAATTCCATTGTGGCCATTTCTTTGAATTTCTCTATAATTTATTATTATTAATATGTTTTTCCATTTATATTTTGAACTTTTGAGAATTAGTGTTTTTATTATTAATTTACTTAAAAATAAAATAATAATGCAGATAATATAACTCATCTAGAAATGCTATATCTGTTCAATTTATATCAATAAGTATGTATTTAGACTGTATTTCATACTCTATAATATAATCTGTTCGTACATTCCAACTGCTCCGGTTCTATAGAATATTATCCGTCTAATGAATTTTATCTGAACATTGTTGCATGTCCGAGTAGGTTTCTTTAGAAAAGAATTTGAACCTGTAATTTCAAACCATTCATGTTTCAAGAAAAATTCTTTTCTAGAAATATAAAATTTATAATTTAGTATGCCATACTAGTGAACATAATGCTTTCAAATCTCTATTAGACAGTTGTTTAAAGCTATGTAGTATATACGGCAAGTCCTTGCTTAACGTTAGTAGGTTCTCAGAAACTGCAATTTTGTATGAAACGAGAAATAATGAAACCATAGGCTAAATGATAAAAACAAGATATAATTTGGTTAATATTATGTTAATTGGAATGTGTTTGCAACCTCCAGCATTTATTTTCCATCTCAAAGAATCAATTTTACTGTTTATATAGAAAATTAAGCAAGAATAATTGTAAATGATTACAAATGTACTTGTATCTTTCCTGAATGACATCATAATGAGACAGCTGGAAATATTAACATAACCAAAAAGTTACTTGATAATTTCGGCAAGATTATTTGGCGTAATCAATTAAAATTCAGTTACAAGTTGTTGTTCATAAGATTTTAATCGAGTAATATTTATAATTGTTAGTTTGTTGCAATTTTTTATCAAAAAGTAAATCATTCGTATGTTATATGATTTCAGCACATTGAGAATAAATTGTAAGAAGATCTTTTCATAAATCTAGCAGAAATAACACTTTTTACCAACCATAAAGTTAGAAATTAATTTTTTTGATTAATTATTCATGTGTAAAACCAATTAAAATTAGATTTAATTCAAAATTCTTTATTGTATAAATATTTTATGTTAGAGCATTTTCAATCAATCTTAGTATCACAATTATTTATGCTGAATGGATCGATTAAAGCTGGATCAAAGTCTGCATCAAGCAATACCTGATATAAATTTCTGTAGTTTTCTTAAACACATAAAGGATAGTCTAAGTCATTTAGTCATTGTAAAGTCCAAATTGCTATCTTATTCAAATATTCTATTAGTTAGAAACTTTGTCTAATAAATAAGTTGCATGCCTTAACAAATTTAATTTATAATATATATTCATAAATGTATTTAGAACACATAAAATAACTTAAAACACAGTTAATTAACTTTTGGATTATTGTATATTTAATAAGTAAACAATAGTTCAGAATAAATAACAATTATTATATCCATAACCTTAAATTATTCTTTAAATTTTATAAAAGAAAATTTAAATATATACAAAGTTAAAATTTAAGAACAGTAATGTTAATGTTCTTATCATTACCTTATAGGTCACTTTGTGTTTGGTGCTCATGCCGAAGATCATGATGTCGGTCTGAACAGTCGTCTGGTGTATCATCTCTCCGGAACCGATGCTGATAAATTTCAAATTAATCAAGATACGGGTGTTTTGAAATTAATTCAAAAAATGGTTAACAGATCCGAAGGATATCATTTAGAAATTCATGCTACTGATAGTGGAAATGTTCCTCTTTCATCCAGTATTAATGTGGAAGTTTTTTTGCGTCCCCTTCATCTTTTTCCTTATTTTCATCCCGGTGTGCACAATTTTGTTCTCCAAGAAACAACAAAGGATGCTCTTCTCACCACGGTACAAGCATCATCTAGAAAAATGGGAGAAAACGGTAAAATTACTTACCATATCGGAGGTGGAAATGTCGAAAATGTATTCTCGGTTAATCCTAATACTGGCGAGGTGTGGATTACTGAGGGATTAGATTATGAAGTTTTACCGAAATATGAATTATGGATAGAAGCTAGAGATAGCGATACTCCTCCTCTTTCAAGTGTTGTGAGGTTAGATATTGATATTACAGATGCAAATGATAATGCACCTATATTTGCTTTCGATGTCTATAATGCTACGATAATAGAAGAACAGAGTCCCCCACAGTTTGTTATTGGTGTAGAAGCTCACGATGCCGATAAAGGAGAGAATAGTGAAATAATTTATTTAATTCAGTCTACTGATGCCACTAATCCTTTCACTCTGGATGCTAAGACTGGTAAAATATATACAAATATGGTGCTCGATAGAGAAAGTATAGAAATATATAAATTAATTGTTCAAGCTTCTGATCGAGGCAATCCTCCGAAAACTGGTACAGCAACTGTTCTTGTAACTGTGTTGGATAAGAATGACAATCCTCCTCGCTTTACTAGACTTTTCAGTGTAAATGTTACAGAAAATGCACCTCTCGGTACTTTTGTTATTCAGGTTACATCTTCTGACAAGGATATCGACATGAATGCCAATGCTACTTACAGTTTTACAGAAAATCCCGGTGGAAAATTTCACATTGATCCCGTTTCTGGCAACGTAACAATTGTTGGATGGTTAGATAGAGAAGTTAAAGACGAATATTTGTTAAAAGTTGCCGCAGTCGATGGATCATGGAGAGCAGAAACACCCCTTACAATATCAATTCAAGACGTGAATGACAACGCGCCAAAATTCAGTAACAGTGTTTATGGTTTCAATATTGCAGAGCTTCAGAGAGCAGTATCATTTGTAGGACAAGTAACGGCTGTCGACCAAGACAAACAAGGCCCTAATTCAGTCATTAGTTACAATTTAAAGCGTCCCTCTGACTTATTTCGTATCGACCCTGCCAGCGGAGAAATAATGAGTAAACAAACCTTGCACTACAAGCATAGTTTGCATTATGCTGCTCCAGAAAACCAGCACATCTTGCGCGTCGTGGCTACAGATCATGGCCAACCGCCCATGTCTTCGGAAGTCGACGTTATAATTAATATCGTCGATTCTAACAATAATGCACCCATATTTGAAAAACCCTTTTATTTTTCACCATTACCACAAAATTCTGGAATTGGATTATCCGTGCTTAAAGTTACAGCAATAGATAATGAGGATACCGGTATCAATGCAGAAATAGAATACAATATAACAGGAGGAAATGGAACAAATTTCTTCAACATTCATAAAACAACAGGTAAATATTTGAATAGTTTATATTTAAAAATGATTTTTGATTAATTTTTTTCATCAGAGAAATTTATATATTATCTTATATAATGACAAATACCAACAAAAAATTTAATGCCACAATATTTGTGTGCATCCAGGTGGCAAGTAGATAAATAAGCAAGCCAAGAGTTTGTTTTGTATGAAACAAACTCTTGGCTTGCTTATTTATCTACTTGCCACCTGGATGCACATTGGCTCACTTACTTAGCTGCTTTCCACCTAGATTCATCTTTAATAAATAAATCTAGAAAAATAGAAAGTAAACTTTCTTAGCAAACAAGAAATTTAAATTGTTCTAAAAGTATAGTTTATCTTAAAAAAATTGTCTTATTTTTTACGTTTACTTAACTAGAAGTCACATTTGTTTCAAATAGTGCAGAATTTATCATATTAAACATCTCAAGAACTGATATATATTATTTAAATGCAGCATTAAACAATTGAAGAGCTAATATATATTAGCTAAATGCTGCACATTCCATGCAATATATTGTGTGGAATGATTTGCTTCTTGGCGATTGCTAGATGTTTCTTTAACACTTCTCTATATCTAGTTTTTGAATCCCATCAATTCTCTAACCAGCCATAAAATGGTAAAAAATTATTGAAATTTGTGCTATTAACATCAATATCTTCTAGTACCTCTTGCTGGTAAGTGAGTTCATACGTCTGCTTTTCCTTTGGTGTGAATCATATGATGCGCAATGAAAAATTTTACCTTTCACGTTTATCTAAATAAATTTTTGCAAATAAACTATGATTTAAAATTTCTACAATAGACACTCATCAGTAAGACTCATCTGAATAATAATAGTTAAAAAAATCATTATTTTTAACTAATATTGTTCAATTTTCAATAAAATAGTCCTTTAAAAATGTAAAAGCTTAGAAAAATGTGTTTATATTAACACATCTCTATTTTAATAATGCATCAACATAAAGAGTATAAATTTTTAATGTAATCATTTTTCTATATACTATACTAAAATATATCTAGAAAATTTTTTACTATTATAAAGTTAAATCGGAAATCAAATTTTTGAAGTAACGACTCTATATATGTTTTTCTTTTCGACTTTTGTTTGCTCTACAGGCTTTAAGTAGCCCTTTTTTTATGACCGTCACAAGCTCAGCTAGACTTACAACGAGGAACTGGGTGCCAGTACTTATGCCAAACAACCTATGAAAATTTTGAAAATTTATCCAGGATTCAAATCTGGATTCTTCATAATATCGGGCTAATGCTTCTGTCTTCTCTGCTATCTGATTGTTGATTTCAAACATACAATGACTAGGAGAAGAAAAATACTTCTCTATAACATCTTAATGTATTGCTTTCTGGTAAACTTGCAGTATATATTGCCATTTGATACATTGAAACTTTACAAGTCACACTTATTATACTTGAAACTTCAAATATATGTATACAGAAGGGTGCAAAAGTAGGTATACAATTGAGAATCTATTTGGTGTTCATTATTATTATTTTTATTATCTTTTATTAGTTCGTATTCCTTATTTTTGATTTAATTTGTGCATAAAAATAAATGTTTTTTCTTCCTATTTTCTCCCTGTATGTTTTTTTCCATAATAACAACTGTATATCTCCTTTTGCACTCCCTCCCTGTATATAACAAGTTCTATTAAGAAATAAAATTAATTTCTATCAGATCCAATTATCAAATTGTTAATTGGAGGAATTTACTATTAAAGATACAAATTTGCTTATTGATTTATTTTAGAATTTATTAGAATAATCTGGAAAAATTTTCATTATATTTAGTCGATTATATTGAATTATTGTGTAACAAAAGTATAATTTGTATTATTGTGAAATTGCTCCTAATGCTCTACACATTAGTGATGAAAATGTATGTCTGTTCTTGGTAAATTATTTCTTAACATCAAATAATATGACACTAAATATTTTAAAAAATCAAAATTGACAATAGAAACGAGTTCTACTTTTCTATAATGAAATTTGGACCCTATGCCCCCTGTAACTTTTAAACCACCTGTTGTAGAGTCAGGGAAGTAATTGGCAAGTTATAGATGTGTGGATTTTCCTAAGAATCCTGTATATTTAAATATTTTTAAAATATATGTATCTGTCGAATTTGTTTTGTCATTCCTTTTCCTTATATTTAACTCTATTAATTTGAATAACCTCATACAAAATTAATTCAAATTAGCAAAACCTGCACTGTATATTACTGTGTATGGCAGAATAATCATTGATAAAGGTTATTATAACATTAGTTGCCAGATATGCAATTTTCTCAGTTTTATAAGAGAACAGGAAACCTGTTTTAGGAAATATTAGTAGCGGCATGGCACTCTTAATAAGAGCAGGAAATAGAGAATGTACGACCCTACTGTTAAGAAAATTGAATTTATTTATGGAATACCTGGATTTCGACACTTCTAAGAGAATGCGCTTTAATTCATTTATCCTACCATCATCCCATTACATTCATCTCAACCTTCCTCCTCCAAAGATGCGGCATACAAAAACTATCAAGTTAATGTCACTAAAGATATTTTGCCTCTCAAATCTTACTTTTTCTAATAAATTCTATATGTGTAATTTAACATAGTTTAGATTATATCAAATTTAAAATGAAATATTTTATTATTTTTATTTTTATTTTAAAAACTGTCAGTATAAGTACAGTAAAATATGTTAAATTGCTTCTCCTTTATAGCACTTAACATACAACTGACACTCATATAAAGTATAAACTTTTCTTTCTTGACAAACTGGATGGATGGAGGGTCGACAGGTCTAACCTTTGCTGACACGTTCAATTATTTTAATTAACTAATCCATCCGTGGAGGTTACGCTCGTCGACCTCTCATCAATAAAGGTTTAAACATTGCATTTAAATGATTAAATAAAACGTTTTTTGTTCTGTTTGGCTTCCGACTTAACTTTTTGTCTCTGAATTCAACTTATATTTTAAATTTCTTAATTAATGTAAAGAAAAAGTTTCATTTGTAGAATGTTCTGCTACTTGACAAGTGCAAAAATATCTTGCTTCTTACAAGTAACGAAAGCTAATTAGTACATTAACATCAGTAGTAAATTAACACGATATTCAATTATCGATAAAGTGAAGATTAACAATTTACTTTTCAGTCTAATTTCGAGATTAATTATTTTATATCTGTATTATTAGATATTAGTCAGGGCTATAGTGGAGGGTATCATATGCCTTGTTTAGAAATTTGTTATACAATACTTCATATAAGCAGGACCATCGAGAGCTCGTATAGGACCTGGGGTAGAGCCCTGCCCCTTTTGCCACTTATTTTTCAACAAATAAAATACATAGAATACTTCTTTAAAATTGCCTTTTTATTAATAAAGATTTCTGTTAGTAAAAATAACATTAATTTTAATAATTTATAGGAATAGGGATCACTAAAGGCCTCTAAATTTTCTCTAAGTCTGGGAATAAATCCCTAGTTTCCCCATTCTTTATAACTTTACATATAAACATAGGAATTTTCATATATGATGAGATTATACAATGATAAATCGAAAGTATACTTTTTAAATCTCAATTAACCAAACCAACATCTTCCTATCTTACAAATAATTGCTCTTTTTCTCCTTTTTAATATTAATTATAAATGTCAAAGTAAAACAAATACGTAATATTTCTGCTGTGTTTAGAAATACAGCATTGATTATAATGGAAGAATTTAAATATTCAAGTTATTAATGATCATTTTAGATATATAAAGTCAGATTTTTAAATATTTTAAAGTAAAATTAATATTGTCAATTTACAAAAGGCAATTACAGTTTGAAATACATGAGCAATTTTGATGACGATAGATGAAGATCATTTTTACATTTTCTAAATAGCTGTAAATGGTCAAAATATTTTGACTAAAATGAAAATCGAACTCTCTTCTAATTAGATTATTGGAAGACATTCTTAACTAATTATATTTTGAATATTTTTCAAATTATTTAAACGTTACATTGTTAAAATCAACACAAACATTGCAGTGATAAAAACGTGATTATTATAAGACAATTCTGAAAGTCTTTGATTCTAATTATCCACCTATTTTTGTCTTTCATAAATTCTTGCAGGTTATTTTTCATTTCTTCTCAAAGATAGGATACCATGCCATTCGGTCATTAGGAACTTCTATCGGTAATTAGTTTTCATCTTAATCTTATTCAAATTATATGCACACTATTGCTACTGTTTTTTTTAAATACAGTATTGCTTTCTTTCGTCATTGTTCTGTTACTTTGTTATAAGTTCAAAGATTTTCATTTTACTTGCTTTGTATTTGGCTAATGAACTAGAAAATAATAAATGGGCATTTACAGCTGCAAAATTTATGGATGCTAATGATCACGAGCAAATTTATTACATTCGAAACTTTTGGTATTAAATACGGGATGAAGCGAAAATGGAGTTAGAAAGCATCAACATGTTTAGTTCTGGAACGTTTGCTGCCATCGCAGCCAATGAAAAACATTTTTGAAATTATTTTATATTAAATATCAATGTTTCTTTTAGAAAATAAATCGGCTTCTGTGATTCAATAGTTTGTTTTTCTTACTTCTTTCCTGTTTCATTTCTAATGCCTTTTTTTTTGACTCGCTCTGTATTATTCTGCATTATTATATTACTTTAGTGAGATATATTTATTGAAGGAATATTTTTTATAATAAACATCAAAGTTTTCTGAAAACTGCATTTAGTATCAAGCAAAACTTTGTTATTAAACTTGGAATTAAGAGTCAAGTTTAGTTGTAAAACTTCAAATACTATTAGATCCTGTAATGTATATTAAGAAAGCATTATTTCTGTCTATTAAACTTAGGTGAAATTAGAAAAGCAAATACTAATATCCCATCAGATTGAGAAAAATATAAGAGTTTAACAAACTCAATCAAATTATGATGATTGGAATTTTTAAATTATAGATCTAAAAATCTGGTATTTCTGAAATATTGACATTATTAGCAATGATAAATAGCATACTCACATAAGGAAAATGCAGGAAATGTCATTATGGGGGTCTAAAATGTAAATTTTGAGAATTTTGGGGTATCTATAAATATCCCCAAAGGCAACTCCACACATTTGATATTTGCCAAATGCCGAGCAAAACACTTGACCGATGCCAAGTGGTGCGGATGATTTATTCGTTACTAATATTTGCTATTTGCAGTTTCCCACTCCTTGTCGATATATTGTGCCGAATCGGCACTTATTTGGCAATCACAAATACCAAACGTGTGGAGTCACCTTAATATAAAAACTACTTTTTTTGGTATGAACAAACTTTTACTTGTATAACTAGTCTTTTTATTACTTTAATAGTTAATTAAGATTTAAAATAAATAGAAGATATTTGAAGCAACTGAAAATTCATTAATTTGGAGTAGATAATTTATTATTTCAAATCTTTAGATTTAATTAAGTTCTCAATCTTTAGTTCTGACAACTATTCTCAGTCAAAGGGTCATTACTCACAATTGATTTGCAGTAAATATATGAGGAGGAACCATAAAGAAAATCATTTTTATAAAATAGTTTTAAACAAAATGCTGATATGAGAACAAGGGGCTGATCATTAATTATGCATGCAATTTTGATCCACTTTTGACTCCCTTCCAACCCATTGTATATTTGGCAAACTCCCTTCCCATTAATTACATGGACTCCCTAATATTGATAATGTTTGCAGGATGCTTTTAACTGGCAATTTATTCACATGAACATTAGGCTAAGTATTAAGCCAATAATACTATTATAAAAGTTCTTGCATACAATGTCTTTACTCCCTCCCTCAAACTATATGTAATTAATGGACAATCCATAAAGTAAAATTTAGTATAATATGAACACTTTCATCTATACTATTGACACAGATAACAAATTTTGCACCCAATGCAAGACAGAGAATGAGACTTTAGAACTTAAATTATTATTTTGTAACAAATAGAATTATTTTGGAATTGGTGTTTCAACATTTCTTTAATTGTTAACGCCTAACAATAACAATTGAAACTCTTGTTACAGTTTAAGGGTGTCCGACATTACGACGCCATTTGGTAACACTTCAAATTTACTAAACTTTTTGTAAAAATAAATAATGTCTATATACTGTAGACATGCATTAAGATAGTACCCAAGATAGTTGCCTTGCTAAGCATTGCTGCAATCCTGATTCTGGAATGTCACTAGAGAGAGCCTCATAATAAAGAAGAATGTGTTTTACTTAATCTTGCACTTTCTCACAACACCAGAATTTTAGACTTTATACAGTGTACAAGTTTTGTTTACTCATAAATTTCTACTAACAAGCTTTATATACACACTATATGCAGTACACTGTTTCAAAGAAGCTTTAAAAAATACCTGAATATTAAAAATAAACGTTATTATTCCATTAAATTGGCTAAATTAAATAAGTCTTTTAACGCAAGAATTTTCAGGAGAGAAACTCAATTACTAGAAAAATGTTCCAAATAAGAATTTTTGTCACTAAATGCCATTATTTTGAAGTGTATTATCTAACACTTGGATGATAAGTCGACATAGAATTATCTTTATTACAAAATAAGCACTTCTAAGTAAAAAAAAATAATTAAATAATCAATTGTTTAGAAAATCTTATTCTATAGTAAAGTATGCAAAACTCCTAATATGGCTTTTCTTCTGTTTTATATAATTTTAACTGATTAATTATATAATATGCACAGTGTAAATTTAGTGTTTTTCGTGAAAAATCTTGGTATTTGTTTACTTGTTCTTGCGACAGTCATATAATATAATGGCTTTTACCTAACTGGCACCATAATTGGCTTAATCTGCGAGTGTGACATAACTGATACTCAGGTATAGCACATATATTCAATAATTTATTTAGAGTTTAATAAAATAAATGATCAGATATCAAGAATCTTGTGATGTCTCTAAAAGTTTGTTACAACACATTGAGGTATCATGAAAGCTGGATGCTTACTCTTGTTATAAGAGTAGCAACACGGACCTTTGAGAGCATCGTGTGATATCAACTCATTAATGAACAATCTCTGCAAATGAATTGGACCATGTTGGATGTTCTCATCACATTCTTGTTGATATACCCTAATAATAGCAATATATAATTATTCTTTCTTTAATACTATTTTGCTTTTATATTTATATGTAAAATTTAACAATTGTTTATTATTTATTATATTTATTTAGGTTGGATAACTGTGGCAAATCCATTATTGGGCCAGAAAGGACAATGGTATAATCTTAAAATCAATGCAGTAGATAAAGGTGTGCCTCCGAAGTCTTCAAAAGTAAACGTTCAGTTGGTCGTGACTGGAGAAAATAAGCATAGTCCTGTGTTCACTGCACTCAGTTATCAAGTTATCATTCCTGAAAACGAACCTTTACATTCAGAAATAGTCGCCGTCATGGCAACGGATAGCGATTCTGGTAATTATTTTGTGTGATGTTGTTCAAAAGTTTAAATATATTTAAGTTTATTAGTTAATATAACAGATATGTTGCTTGAAAGTAGAAAATTAAGCAAAAAATCTAAATTTCATAATAATAATAATAATATATAATAATGGTGAAATGCAAACTGGAGCATTTATCTATAGTTATATTTCAACTCCAATGCATGTAACTATATCTGAAATATCCAGCACAAATTATACTTACTAAAAATAATGAAAAACAAATGTTTTTGACAATTTTTAAATCATCATATTGAGGTAAAGCCAATCAAACATCAATATGAAAATTCAAACATCACGTGACTACTTAAAAATCATTGAAAATGTTTGATTTTTCATTATTGTAATAAGTATAGTTTGCACTGGATATTTCTAGTATAGTTATGTGTTGTAATTAATCCAGTTTTAATAGTACATATTCATTGTTATTTATCAACTCACAGGATGATGATTCACAGCATATTGCAGTGCAAGTATGTATCTGGAAGCACTTCAAATTCTCACCATCTATGTGCAGAATCATCACCATATACATAGTGTTCTAAAATGAATGCTACCATTTTAAATTACTGTAATTATGTTAATTATTTCCGAGAATTATGCAGCATACACCAGTTGACAGAGTAACCGTCTGAGTTTTGTCTCCATCTGCATTCAAATGTCTTGTCGTTTGTTACTTCTAGGAAGTGCTGATCAACTTTACAACAAAAATGATGACTTCACAATAAGGAAGGTGTTCTGCAGTTTGCAAAGTTGGAATCACTCATTGTCGTGCAACACAAGTAATCCGCAAGAGCTGTAAAGCTGTGGCTGCTATGGGAGGAGTGACAATGAAAATGCCTTAGTGATCATATGAAGAATTTGAATATCAGTTAGATGTATGCCATGCAACACGAGGCGTGTGCATTGAGAAAGTGTAATGGCCAAATGTGAAACTTGTATATGTTTTAATGTACATTACATTTCAGATAATAATTAATAATATAAAATGGTAGAATTATTTTTGGAAGACCTTTATATTTGCCATTTACAATAATGCTAACAAAGGCTAAATCAACAAATAACATCACTACAAATCCGATACAATATATAGCCACAAGCCAAGCAATGCCGTATGTCATTAGACTAGATATCAGCTATAATATTAAATAATTATGAAACAATTTGGTACTATTAATAGATGGCGCCTAACGCCTCCTTCTACCAAATTGTTTCATAATTTATTAATATTACAGCTGATATCTAGCTCGATGACCTACAGCATTGGTTGGCTTGTAGTTATAAAGGCTAATTCAGTGAATAGTTGTTATTCCAAAACATCGAGAAGCCTTCGCATAAGCACTGTTGATTAAGGCTAGTGAAATGAATTGAGGTACTCTCCTTGAAGTGCATATTGGTGACCTTCCTAAAAGCCATGTTACACAGATAAAATGACATTTAGTACTGTACAAGTCTATAACGAATCGTGTGAACTAACTATATTTAATTTAATTATAAATATATTTTTGAATATAATGAAATTAATATTAAACAATTTCTGAAATACTTTTTACATTATCTTTTCAGGTCTTAATGGTGAAGTTATATATTCAATAACAGAAGGGAATGATAATCAGAGTTTCCATATCGATCCAACTTCTGGTTCTGTAACTATAATAAAACCCTTAGATTATGAAAAAACAAAAGAATATCATTTAAATCTCACTGCTTCGGACAGAAGTTTTAAGAGTAAACAAGCCACGGCAATGTTAACTATAATTGTGACGGATATTAACGACAATCCGCCTCTCTTTTCTTCTCCGATATACGATGTATATATTGCCGAAAATGAACCGGCGGGTACATCGATAACTCATCTGACTGCTTTGGATATAGATTCTAGTCGAAATGCCATCGTTCAATACTCGATTGTCGGGGGAAGTTCGAAAGACATGTTCTCTGTTGGAATTCATTCGGGTATTATTCTTTCCAAGATCACTTTTGATTACGAAGAAAATAATCTTTATCCTTTGGAAGTTATTGCGAGCAATCCGGGATCGAATCAGTTTAGCTCTACGAAAGTTAATATTCACATTACGAGCAAAAACGAATTTTATCCACGTTTCATTCAGCCTGTTTTCCAATTCACTGTTTGTGAATCAGCTGGAATTAACACTGCTGTTGGAACGCTTCAGGCGACAGACGAAGATACGGGACCCGATGGTGAAATATTTTATTTACTTGTTGGAAGCAGTAACGATCGAGGATTTCGAATTGAACCCAACACTGGTATTATTACTGTTGCACGCAGACTTGACAGAGAATCTCAGGCAAGAGTCGTATTAACAGTGATGGCAAAAAATATGGGAAGTATCAGAGGAAATGATACTGATGAAGCACAAGTTGTCGTTAGTATAGAAGATGGTAACGATCCTCCACTCTTTATGAAACAAGCTTATGAAATCCACACAAGTGAAGCTTCTCCATTGGGTACTTCTGTAATTATGGTATCTGCAACAGATAAAGATGTTCATCCAAACAACAATCATTTTACATACTCAATTATCAACGGAAATATCGGTAAAGCATTTATGGTTGATTCTCAGTCTGGACTGATTCAAACTGCCGCAATGTTAGATAGGGAAACTATAGCAGTTTATAACTTAACAATTGCAGCAATCGATACTGGAACTCCCCCTCAAACCGGTACTACTCTAGTTAAAATTCTGATAGATGACGTTAACGATAATGGTCCCATCTTTGATCCACCAGACGTTCTTGGTTACGTGATGGAAAACGAACCCGCATACACGAGCGTCACTGTCCTCAGTGCAACCGATCCTGACCTGCCTCCAAACGGAGCTCCCTTTATGTACTTTCTTGTCGGAGGTGATTACAAAGAATATTTTGAAATTGATCGTCACACAGGATTAGTCAAGACAACGCAACAGATTGACAGAGAAATTTCTCCTACAATTCGATTAGTCGTAGAGGTGCACGACAGCGGAGTTCCACAAATGAAATCTCGTCATACAATTACAATCATAGTAATGGATAAGAATGACAGCCCTTCTTCTCCAAGAGCTCTGACAGTTTTGGTATGGATATTCAACAATATATTTCCAGGCGGAAAAATAGCACACATTCATCCATTTGATCCCGACATGACCGGTCAGTACATGTGCAATTTACTAGAAGGAGATTCCTCAGTGTTTAGAATACCAACAAAATGTGATCTTCATGCAATAAGACTATTAAATCCTAATAATTATACTTTAACTGTAAGTGGTAATGATGGAAGACACCCCGACGTAACATCTACGATTCGAGTACAGTTTATGACTTTCAATAATAAAACAGTAGAGAACAGCTTGACTTTAAAACTATTGAATCATTCTGCAGATGACTTTCTGACACAACAATTTGAAAGATTTCAGAAAGCAATTGGAGAAATATTTAAGGTAAGTAAATTTTATTAATGAACAGTAACTACTTATCATCTCAAATTAATTTGGTGCCACACAGAAAACTGAGAATGGTACAAATTTACATCACGCTCTCTTTCAGTTTTCAATGTGACATTAAATACTATTCAAATAATAACTGTATCCCATCCTTAAAGCTTGAAATAGTAATTGCAGAGATATTATGCACTTAGATAGTAGCCACAGCTGTTATTCAAATAAAACCCATACATATAGTGTGTCAACATTAATTGTACTGTACTATATATATTTAAACATAAAAGTATATCAATTAATATAGGTAAACAAGCCTGAATTATTCTGATAACCTAATAGTAATGCCAGATTAGCTTAAAGGTTAGTTCTTGGCTGATTAATATAATAGATACTAGTTAGTATCTATTATATTAATCGGTCAATTAATCCCAATTTAGCATAGAGGTTTGTAATTATCATTTGGAGGGATGCTTTAAAACAATTCATGGCATGCACATTTAATTAATCGGTTAATGAAAAATGAAACTTTTAAAGAGGCAACCAATTAATTACATATATTGTAAGTGTTTGAGAGATTTATTTTCCTTATTATTACTTGTTTAATTGTTATCTGTTCTCATAAAAATTTACTATTATAAATAAACAAGATGTAATAAAACTCTGCACCATACAATATTTTAGGATCAAAAATAAGCTTAAAATCCTCTGTAAACATTTCTAAAATTTTGCTTTGTTTTTGAGATCTGGCCTGCAATAAAATTGTTAAAGTTTGACCTTTTTGGTCTTGTTTACCAACTACTGTTTTTTTTTACTGTAAAAAACAGATGGATAGTGTAAAATCTTAGAGTATTTTTGTTTACATTTATTACAGAAGGGCTTAATTAGGCAACATTTACTTACTTTGATCCATAAAGAATAAATGAAAAATACAAATGTTCTTTAAAAAGTTGACAACTCCAGCAGGCCAGATGTTGAAAATGAAGTGGAGTTTGAAAAAGGTTTATAGAGAATTTTAAGCTTATTTTTAACCATAGAATCTATCCATAAAGTATTGGCATGAAGTTTTATTACACTCCATACATATGTTGGGTTTAATTAATATATAAATGGATTTGATTCCCTCATTTGGAAAGAATTAATAAATGAATAGTAGTATTATTATTTTTATTCAAAACCTCACACAAGGGCCAAAAGTTGACAATAGATTTATATATTAATATTAAAACGTCCATTGTGTGCATTGTGTGCATGTGTATTTGAAAGCACTTAGTACATAAGAGAGATATTTTCTATCAAAGATTTAGTCAGATTCAATGATGTCCTCATTGCTACATTGTTAACTTGTTTAAATTCTGTGGTAAACGAAATCTATTTATAATAAATATAATCAATTTGAAACTGTAAACATCTGTTATAGCAGTATTTGGTTTAAGAGTATTAGCATTAATATTTACGAAGACATTAACTTATGAATTGGCTTCTCAGTTGTTAATGTTTTTATTATTAAAACATTGGACTATCTGAAATATATTGTAAATAGCATTTATTATAGAACCATAAGAGAGAAGAGAGCTTTACAAAATAAGGATTCTGTATTAGCATAACTATAAATTTTAATGTGTAGTTTCATATTTTAACAGATAAAAGTTAAAAGATATTTCAATACAATTTTTAAATAAAAACTTATTTTATTTTAAATATAGCCCATGGGAACACCTATGATATATAGTATCACCACTTTGAATAACCATCTTGAAATGACAATGGCTGTGAAAATGAACGACCACAGTTACTTTCCCGTTCAAGATGTACTTAGTTCCTTGCAGAAAAAAAGTAATTTCTTACGAGGAGTTATAAATCAAGATGAAATTATATTTGGTTTTAATCCGTGCCAAAATTTGCCGTGCGAAAATGGAGGAAAATGTCACAGTTATTTGGATTTACGAGAGTCCCTGTCCATCGTCGATTCTCCATCTCTAGTTTTCACTTCTCCTACTGTCATTCACCAGTATTCTTGCACTTGTGCTCAAGGATTTTCTGGTCCTCAGTGTCAGTATCAAGAAGATCCATGTGCACCCAACCCGTGTCTTTCTGGAGGTGTATGTCACCATGACGGCTATGACTTTCAGTGTCTCTGTCCACCCCAGTATCAGGGCAAACGTTGTGAATCTGTCAGAACAGATTTGTGTGCCAATGCTCCTTGCAAGAATGGCGGAACCTGTGAAGAGGCTCCGAACGGTTCCTTTTTTTGTCTCTGCAGACCCGGTTTCCGTGGAGCTCTGTGTGAGCAGACTACTGATAACTGTCGTCCGAATCGTTGCTTGAATGGCGGAACTTGTATCAGTGATAAACCAGGTTTGTGTAGTATCTATAAAATAAAAGTGATTAGTTATAATGTAATTTTAAAATCTACTTACTACTATAAATTGATAAGAAATACTAGTTATCAATGATCTAAGTAAACATAACACTTTTATCATAAACCATAGTATAATTAATTGTATATTTTAGGTTATCGGTGTCTTTGCGAAGCAAGCTTTTTTGGAAGACACTGCGAAAAATCAAGCTATGGATTCTATCCTTACTCTTACATGGCATTCCCTGCTCTCAATCCCTCCACCAATGACATTTCTATAGTTTTTTCAACAAACAAACACAACTCTCTTCTGGTTTATAACTATGGAATCCAAACGGGTGGGAGATCGGATTTCCTGGCCCTGGAAATTATAGACGGAAGACCAAATTTTTCTTTTGGAGGAGCAAGAACTGCCATTGCCACCATCACCATGACCAAATCAGTAGCAGACGGAAAGTGGCACAAGATAGCAGTCATCAGAAACGGTCGAGTGAGTTGAAAATTTTATATTTTACTTTCTATTAAAATAAATTTCAAGTATACATTAAACTGAAGAAATTTTCAACTGAAATTCAAAATTATTTTGTGGCTAGATCTAACAAGCACAAGAAATAATTTTAAGTAGTTAGAATTCCGTTAGCATGGCAAATCTTCATTTAATGTTGTTAAGGAAAGACACAAGTATATTTGTAAACATTTACAATTATTGTTATTGAATTTTCTGCATAATCAGTAAAATTGATTCTAGAGGTAAAAAATAAATGCTATGTATCCAATAGGAAACTTAACTCCTGTTTACATAATTTAGCCTGGTGTAATTGTAACATCATCGATAAGTTCTTGGAAATTGTGGCATTAAGCGAGGACTTTCTGTATATTGCCAAATTGAAAAGTCTCTTTTTCACTTTAGCACTATAGACTATTGGTACATGGTCTACTCAAAACACTTGTCACCAGTTTATTTATGCCTGCCTCATGAAGTCATAAACCAAGTTGATTATTTTAGTGTGTAATCTATGTCGAAGTGCTTTCTGTCAAGGAATTAGTCAGTTTGAGACTTTAGACTCTGAAAAGTCTCTGAAATTAACAATCTTCTATAAAACTTTAATATAATATTAACTAATATATAATTATTTCTTTTATTCTTTTTTAACATAATTTACACAAATTAAGTTTATCAATTTTAAACCAGCTAGAAGAGTATGTTCGTCTTTTAAATTGCTACAAAATATATATTTTAAGCATATCTAATAATGAAAGTGAAATTCTCAATTAAAATGTGAGCAATTAAATTAAAACAAAATTTATTAACTTAATGTTTCACAAAAATAATTTTCTTGTGTCTAACAGGTCGCCTCGGTCTCTGTAGCCGACTGCAACGAAAACGGAGAAACTTGCGAAGAATGCTTTCATGGGAACACCACCTGCTCAATGTCCACCATCGGGCACATCGGGTAAAAATATTAACTTTTGTTTAATTCTTAGAAGTTAAATTGGCTTTGATTTAACTTTTAACTAAATGCCAAGATAATTTTAAGTAATGGAGGTTTTAAATTAAGACAAAAAGTCCATGCAAAATCTGTATTAGATACTGTCAAACGATCTGCTGGATTGTTTATCGGGTTATTTTAATAATTCGGCTAGAGGTAGACAGTCAGGCTGCCACTTTTTGATAAATTAATTTCTGATTGTTAAATTTAAATTTAGAATATTTTGGAAGAAAAGATTGGCCAAGAGTGAGATTCAAACTCCAGAACTCCTGCTTACCTTCACAGGCAGGAGTTTCAGGTTCAATCTTTAGTTTTGTTATCAGACCAGCTCTAGATAAATCAAAAAATTTTGACTGATGTTATTTGTATTCAAACTTTGTAAATTATACAATATTAAACAATTTAATTTTTTTAATGGAAGGAACTAAAGAAACAAATTTAATTATCTGTCTAGGACACTTAACTTCCATGCTAATTTATTTTACCTGGGTGGAGTGCCTTCTATCGAGCCCATAATAGAAAGACCAGGTCAGATTGCTGCCGACGATTTTGTGGGTTGTGTGCACAGTGTGGCTGTCAACGGACGAATGCTGGATCTGGGATCACCTGTAAAATCCATGCACACGGCTACAACCTGCGTCAGATCCGAACTATGTCCCAACGTGGCCGCCTGCGGTCAGAACGGACACTGTCGAGACACGTGGTTTGCTTCATCCTGCCTCTGTTCCTCCGGAGTTATGGCTCCAAACTGTAATGATGGTAAGTTGTAATTTTATTATTCATTCATGTAGAAAATGATTTCTTTTTTTATTGTATTGGTTGTCAACTATGAAATGTCCATTTCTTAGTGCACCTTCCTTGCACATATATAGTGGAAACAACTACATTGAAACAGAAGGTCTCGCACGGTTATTTTGTTTTAAGATACAGACTACTATGAGTTCTGTAAAGGATCAAATTCAGCTCAGGCTATAAGGAACATCAATGCTGTTTATGAAAATGCACTGAGTGAATGGAAGTGTCATTGACAATTTGTGAAATTTTGATTTGGGGATATCAGCTTTCAAGTTTCTCCCACACAGGTGAACAATGAGACCTTACAAACTCTTGCAGAATCCAACCCAAAGCAGTGCTTTCCTTGTGCTTTTGTACTGCACTCTGTACTCAAAAGGCAGTACAAAAGCACAGAGGAAGGCATTTGGATTCCACATTAGCTTTCCAAACAAATACATATTCAAAGACAGTCAACTTCTTTAAGAAAAAAAAATGCAGAATTTGGTGACAAGCTGAGGGAAAGTTATAGAATCTAAGGGGAATTATATTAATGAATTCTGTTCTGTTCAAATACAATGTATCATTAAAGCCTGTTTAATCAGTTGGACATTTCATAGTTGACAACGAAACATATTTAGTCGGGATTTGGGTTTGGTAGAATATATATTATTAACAACAACATAATATCTGACTACAAGGACCTATTTAAATAATATGCAGCTCATACCACACAAGATCTAAGATCCTAGTTAGTACAGTATTACCACTATTGACACACAATTCTACACAAAAGCCTAGGTTTTAAATGCCTAAAGTGTCACTATAGTGGGTTTTCTAATGAATTATTTAAGTTTATAAAAGAGTTTGAACTTACAGCAGGCAATTATGCAATTCTAATTGACCCCATTAACATTTATATAATTACAGAAATCAAACTGATTTTAAAACTAGTACTAATCATATTCTATTGGTGATACCAATATAAAGATTTCCTTTTTGTTCATTTAGACATCTGGAATAAGTTTGTACATAAAATCCTTTTTTTGCAGATAACCAAAATTATAGGTGCAAGTTGTTTTAGGTCTCCATTAATGCTCTAGCCTAGATTAGTCATCATTGATATTTAATCAATTACACCCAGTATCGACACCAGACATTTCTGAATAAGATATTTTTATCTGAAATTAATTCTCCTTCTATAACTATCACAATTTATCATGTACTTTATATCACTGGGAGCATTTTAGGATTGCCAAAGGATCAATGATCGTCTACGGAGTGGATCTAATTATCGGAGCTGCTTCGTTAGACTACATCTGCCAACGGGTGATAATTTGCTTCTCTTCTCTGTGGATGAATTTGTCACTTATCAGCTTTGACAGGTTGCCTGTCTGAGCGTGTCCTCTGTACTTATGTTAGTTTAGGTAGAAAGAGAAACAATGTCAAGGAAAATCACACATTAATTTTTTAACTGGCGAGAACAGAATGGACTGGAAAGCTAATTATCCAACTTAAAACATTTTGTTTTCTAATTTCTAGAATTTATTTAAAATTCAGAGCTACATTCTCAAAACTAGTTGTTCACAAACTGCAACTCCCGAACCAAATCCGGCCTGCAAACATATTTGACACATCACTTATAAATAATATAGTAAAAGTAAGTTTATTTCTACATGAAATATACAAAATATTTGTGCCCTATTATTGTGAGGACCCAAACGGGGTTCGAAAGCAGGCCATTAACGACTTTTTAAATGAGTCAAGTTTCGTAGTGTGAAAGAGCGAACTTAAAGATCAGATTTAAACAATGAACCTTTTGTCTTGTTAAAAGATTTTAGACAATAGATAGAGTAAAGTCGAGGAAAACGAGGTTGGAGAGGAGTCGTGTTCCGACGCGATGTTGACCTCTCCCGTGCCCTTCCTGGGGTTTCGAATTGTCACCATGTGACGAGGAGAGACCAGTGGAGAGGCGACCGCGGTGGAAAAATCGATAAAACCGCGTTTTCGGGAACTTTACGAGGTCTTGGGTTTTGGTGTGTAGTACTCACCTGTCGGGATTTTGGTGCTCCCGACCGAGACGCAACGAAGGCTCTTCTGACGACCTAGGAACTGGTTTCGCCAACCCGTCCACTCTAGGATCGCCGAGGTTCGACTTGTCAACCGAGGACATCACTACAAGTGTTGGTGCGTGCCCCGGAGCCATCGTTCTCTGCGTCCACAGTGCCGAAAGCTCCCCAGGGACCAATCGAACATTCGAACTATCCGATTTTTAGGAACTGTGACAGAAACCCATCGTGGGATAGGCTCTTGCCCGCATTAGGTTGTTGTAAGAACGATTTATGTATATTATTAAACGGTTTTATATGGTAAACCTGTCTCGGTGAGTCATTCCGCGCCCACACGACAGAATTGACCGCTCGGCTGTCGAAAACACCTCACCCCTAATCGGCTGGCCTCACATAG